GCTGCCTAGGATGTTTGCACTTCCCTTGCAAAGCCCCAAATGTAAGGTGTGAGTACAGACTCACCCACCATCGGTTTAGCCCTCCTTCCCTCCCCCCAGAGCTATCTGCTTACAATCCTGGAGAGTCACAAAACACACTAATCATCTGAATCTCAGGTGCATCCAATTTGTTATTCACACTCTCCCATGCCAGTGAAAAGCCTGGCGCAGACAGATGCACCAGGAACCCTAAATGACAGTTTTGGCCTCCGGAAGTACGATCACTACAGCAAAATCTAGTACAGCCTCCAGGTGAAATGTCTGGAGCTCCATATGGAGCAGGGAAAATTAACAACAAGATGAAAATCACTGCAGCAGCGGGGAGTCAGAATTTTTGAAAAAAAAATGAAATTTAAAGATGAAGAAAGAGAAGTAATAAATTAATGGGGTGTGAAAACATTCAAAGCTTTACAATACCAGGGGCACTATTTGCTCAGATTTTTTCCCTTTTTTTTAACTTCAGGTCATTTTGATGTAATTTATTAACCAAGATCAGGAATCGTAGCCAAAAGAAGAACAATATTTTTATACATGCAAAAATACTTTAAATACATTTGTATATGTATTATCTTCACTTTCCTGTGGCATCTTGCTTACCATAAATTTCCCAGTGCCAGAGTGGACACATCCCCTGAAAAGTCTCCATAATGGATTTACTATTGTCCTAGTGCAGGGCCCTGTTTATAAAGTTTGAATGAAGAATGACAATTTTTAGTAGGCAACCTTTTTCAGTCCTCCTAATTATGGTGTCATTAAACAAACCATTGCCCACCAAAATGTTTTTTAAGTCAACTGAGTTTGGATGTACATGATCACTATACACAGTTTCAGTCCTTATCCAGACCTGCACATCCCTGCAGATTACCAGTAAAGCTAAACTGTTCAAGAAACTGAGCCATCTTTCTTTGTAAGATGTTTGAAATGACAATTTCTCATTACCCTATTGCAGAATATGCTTTATATACATCCAGAATTTAATGGCATAGGGGCTGGCCAGGGCTCTGAGGCCCTCTGGATCTCCTGTCACTCTACCAAGCACGTGATAAGATGAGACTCTAGGGAATGATCTTGTCATCTATACCAGCACCATCATCTGAAGCTCACCACTCTTCTCTACACAAGAGGTCAGCCTCAGGCAGAGAAGGCAAACTAGGAGAAGAGGCTGGACAGACTGTGTGGGAGGGAGAACAGGATGTGAACAGCCACCAAACTGAGAGGACACAAAGGCAGCCATTGGGTTTAACTGTAGCCTCCAAGTCCCAAACCTAATGTACCCACTCCTCTGCCTCTCTATATACCTCAGCCTGCTCACCTGGAGGCTAGAAATAATAGTTCCCTGCAGGTGGGATGTATAGCCTGGGACAGACAGCAGAAAGTGCTCAGGAGCTCTATGTAATTAAGGTGCTGCATGAATTCAAGACAACATTGTTCATACTATTTATGGTGGTCCCTAACTTTTTTTTCTATAAAGTCCTAAACTGCATGCCAATGAGGCTATGTAACTCTAAGGCCTAAAGGAAACTCAAATAGGTGTTTTTTTAATAACACACACCTGACCCATAAAACAATGACATTCACATAGAGTGAACACCAGCATATTAACCTTTATGTCAATCCTAGGCCACTGACTCTCCCTAGTATCCTCCCAGCACCTTCCCTCATCTGTACCCTCACAGAATACACACTGTGTCACAAGTTGGAAGAGGGGCTGCTAAAGACCCTGTCAGTAGGACTGATGCTGGGCTATTGGAAGGATGGGCCTATAAGCTCACTCTTCCTCCCAGCTTTGCCTTCTGCTCCAGTTTTGGCTGGCAGCTTGCTCAGAACATCCTTTTGCAATTTCCCACTGATGGTTGGAAATTCTGTTTTGTGCTGTAGTCCTACATTAGAACCAGTGGGGTTCACATATATAATCTCATTCAAGCAGCTTATTTCCTCTAGTCAGACAGGTTAGGGATGTATTAGGATTATCATCTTAGAAATAAGGAAATTAGGGTCTCAAGGAATTTACAAAGCAAGAATGATGGTCTGTGGTGAGTCTGTGGTAAAGCTGAATTCTAATTCCAACTTTCTGTCTCTTGGTCCAGAACTCTGCCCAAACAGGCTACTCTTTTCAACTTGCCAATGCTGAAAACAGCTTGAATTGGATTCCTCAACTTTTGGGTTCAGGCACCAATTCCACTAACCCCAGCCCAGGTAGAAAGGGATCAAAACTACATGATCTTAACAATATATAAAAGGCTTTTTTTTTCTTTAAGTGTGTTCCAGGGCCAGACTACTGGACGACAATAAGGTGAAGTAATTCTCGATTTGGTGAACTGAACACTGCTTTGATCCTATGACTTGCTTAGTAAAGCAGTGAGCTTCCTGTCACCAGAGGTATTGAAACTATGAATGTTTGCTTTTCAGAGGTATTGTGGAGACATTCGATGTGAAGGTGTCTGAGATCCCCTTCAATCTTGGAGTCTGACTCACTCCCCCCTGCCTACACCACTTGGGATTCAGCGAAACTGCATCAGCCACAGTTCAACTGTAAGCAATCAGAAATTTTGTTTGCCAAATTTACAAGTGGAAACTCTCTCGGAGTGCTTAGGAGTTTAAATGGGACAGTGTGTATCAAAGAAGGTGTGATTTTATAATCCAGTCTCTGAGATATTATAAAAAACATGCATTTTTCTTCATGTGCTTTATTTGAGAGCAGAAGGGAGAGTTAGGAAAGGCATTTATAAAGTATCTTCCCAGTTGAATGTGGTGGTACACGTCTGGTATAACATAATCCCAGTTATGTGGGAGGCAGAGATCAGAAGAAATGTGGTTTAAGGCCAGCTGGGGCAAAAAGTTATCAATACCCTTTCTCAATTAATAAGCTGGGCATGTTGGCAAGAGCCTGTGGTCCCAGCCAAGTGGGAGGCCTATGTAGGAGGATCGAGGTCCTGGGGCCAGTCCTGAACAAAAATCAAAGACCCTACCAGAGAAATAACTAAAACAAAAAAGACTGGGTGCATGGTTCAAGTGGTAGAGCACCTAGCTAGCAAGCATGAGGACCTGAGTTCAAACCTCAGTATGCCAATAAATAAATAGATAAATACATAATCTACCCAACCATCCATCAATAGATCAACCCTGTAAAATAAATGCAAATTTCAGCAAAAGTCATTATTGACTTTAGAAATGAGGCACCCAAACTAGTACTAAAATTGCTGAGAAACAGGTCTGATGGCATCAAAGCTGCTTCTACTATTTGAAAGTGAAGTGCCAGTTTGGTGCTATTGTAACTCTGGCATAAAGGTTACTGCTAACTAGGGAGCTCAGCACATTAGAATTTTCCACCTGCCACTTGACTGATTAAGAACAGCATACTTAAGACGTTCAGGAAGCAGCCCTGAAAAGATAGACAGCTTCGTTCTACACCTGACCACGGCCTTCAAGCACTCCATTTGTCACCTGTGACTCATTACTCCCCAAATTTCACTGATTAATTACTATAGATATGAGAAATTTCAAGAATACTGCTTCATTTTCAATCTTTGGAACTTCTGTTAGATGACTTACATGTTTTCTACTAAGACTTGTCTCAGAGATACATTGTATAGGGTCTCTTCTGTTCATTTTCAAAATTTTACAGGATTACATAAATTGGCCAAACAGTGAATTGTTTAAAAATTACTGCCAGAATAAAAGGCCTTCCAAGATAAATATTCTAATGAGCTTTAAACCCTGAAAATGTGATTTTAATTTGATGTGCTACCTAGAGCTAAGCAGCAAAGCTGTATATACAAAAATCTCCCTAAAAGCTAGTTAGTGTTCATGCCAAGTGGTTACATTTCAAATTTTTTCTTTAAGGAAACAATTATGTTTAAACAAAGACACAAATTTGAAAAGTGAGACTAACACTCCAGAACCTAATAACTTGGACAGTTTCTCTTCCCCTTATCTGATGACTTTAACTGAGAATGAAAAAAGATACAAAAGAGACATTTCAGTGACACTCTTTAAGTATCTACTTAGGTACCAGGAGAATATGCTTAAAACTGATTACAAAAATGGTAGAGAGAACGAGTCCCCTCCTATTATTCAATAACCATGTTTGTGATGCATCTGCATAATCTAACCATGCATAAATTAGTATGTGTAATACAACACTTATTTGCATAATAATAGCAAGTTAATAGATGCTTAAAGAGCAGAGACCAACACCACCTTTAAATCAGACATGCCTCCAGGCACCATGGCCTGTACAGACCAATATGCCAGAAAAAAAAAACAGTGAGCTCCAACCAGAGTAAAACAGTCAAACCATTCATTTTTTATCCCTCCAGACATTTCACTTATTTCTCCCACACACACTGGGCAATCGTTTTCAAACCACAAAACAGCTTTATATTTTAAGTGCTAGCACCCTTCTATAATAAAAATCTTAAAGAAAATATAAAGATTAGAGTTCACAATGCTAGTATAATGGACCACTGTTTTCTTAGAAATGTGGATAGAAGAAGCAAAATCTAAAAACAATATGTTCAAAATCACACTCATATAAAACTAGGAGCCTATTTACCTAGCAAATATAATGAACTAGATTAGATATTTTCACCCTTCATCTTAATCCTGTAATTCTAGCAATTTTAATTGAGTCCAAAAAGGGTATGAAGAAAAGGCTGGGCCCCTCCTCCAGCCTCAATATGAACACATGGTACTGGGCCGGGATAAGGAAACACATCTTGAAAGTCACACAAAGGAGGAACACGATAATCACCTTCAACCTTTAACAAAGAGGAAAGAAGTCTGGAGTTTAAAAAGTCAAAAATCAGTAGAGACTTCTAATGATTCCTTTAAGATATCACTTTTCAATTTAACAGGACAGACTTATTTGTATATGCCTTAATCGTTCACAATTGCTCCCTGCACCTTCATACATAGGAGTGAATGTCACAGTGGCAAACGGTAGTAATGAACAATCTTACCTGAGGATATGGAAACCTCCCAAGAGCAAGCTGAGAAAGGAAATAATATTTGTCTAGTTATGGATTTGCATGCAGGGCAGGTCTCCTTAAGACACACAAGTGCTAAATTTCAGAATTGCACCTAGTAAACATAAAAAAGCTTATAACCTCCAATGCATGAACTAAATTATTACTGTAATTACATTAGAAGCTGTATTTAGAATGGACATTTTCAATAGACAATGCTGCATCCCTGATAAAATATTCTAATTTTAATAACTAAACATTAGTCTGTGTTTTCTCTTAGGAATATTCTCAGCTCTGTGGGCATTATTCACATTTACATGTGTGTGACAGTTTCTTCTAGACAGAAATGTAAAACTGTTGATTTTTCCTCTTGTAAGATGGGAGCATCTAATTGTGCCTAGTCTACAGCTCTGTAGAGTTTTTAGTTACAAATATAAAGGGAGGGTTGTAGGAAGTGATGAATGGCCATATTATGAAATTAAAACGTATGCCATTATTTACAGTCACTTGTTAAATTTTTTCATCCATTTCCTATCCATCATTAGAAGAAAAATGCTACTGCTCTTAAGGAGATGGTCATTGTAAGCTGTGAAGTTGGAACTGTAGATCTAAGTCTGAAATTGGGAAAGTGAATTCTTTGAGGTTCAGTTTTAGCTTGACTTGTAAAACTGTTTTGTTTTTCTGAGCTAGTCACTTAATATAACTCTTTGGATCCTCATATGTAAAAATAAACTGATTCAGTTAAGAATATACAGCTTGATATATTAAGATCAGATTTAACAAATATATATAACCTATTTAAAGAAAATAATGGCAAAAAATTTCCTAATGTGGCCCATGCTCAGTACTGAAACCTTAAATATGTATCTGTAACTACTTTCAAAACAGAATCACAGCATCAGGGAATTTTAAAGCCAGAACGGATCTGAGAGAACATCAGTCTACTTCAGAGATGAGAATCCCAGAGTCCCACTGAAGGAGCTCCTACCCAGTTAGTCAATGGAAAGCTAGGGGTGACCCAAGACTTGTGACTTAATCACAAGTGGGTTTTTTCCTTTTTTTTTCCCCCACCCCTCCCTCAGTGTTCTTTCTGGCATATTATGCTATCTTTATAAATCTTGAGAAGTTGCACCTTATTCCAAAGACATTGATGTTGCTCAAACATTTTTGAACTCCTCTTTTGGAACTGTGTTTAAAATCATTTCGTGTAACAGAATACTTACTTCATTTTATAGGAATTGCACCTTGGATTTAAAATTATACCCCTCAGCTTGTTGATCATGTAAATTTTCTGTGGAATATGTGTAAGTGAGCTATGTATATTACCAAAACTTAAAGCTACCTACAAAGGATGGATATGAAGGTGCTGACATTTTCAACTCTAAAACCAGTCTGAGCAACAGTAATGTGACAGGAATAAGCCAGATGACTTCATAAGGTGACTGCTTTGAAAGAGCCAACACTCATTCAGGGGTGTGTGTGTGTGTGTGTATTGGACTATATAGTGTTGTTACCTTGTGCTCATATCTCATACACAATACATACACTGATACATATATAAGGACTTTTAACATATAAAATTACACTATCATTATTTCACTTGATGGGTATCACTAATCCCTTCAAGTATAAATAACAAAAATGTAAGATGGGGTACAGGAAAGAAAAGTGTGAATGTTCACCTAAATTCCTTTCAGAGTTTCATGTGATTAAGTTTGTTGTCTCTGTACTGTTATTAATTAGGAAGGGAGGGGCTCAGCTCTCCCACTGCACCACCCACCCCCCTCCACTCCCACCCAATTTGGGCTGTAGCTTTGCCCTAGATTTTAAAATTACTGTGTGCTTCTGGCCAATGAGAGTGTCTACAGTGATTCAAGAGGAGTCACTGTGGTCTAACATGATGGGTGTACCATCTCTACTGACCCAACAGATCCCCAAAAGCTGTCACTTCTTACCACACTGATTTGTACATTATGAATTTTGCATAAACTTCCATTTGAAGTTAGAGAAACAGCAAGAGAAAGGTGTTTCACCTAAAAACAGTAAGAGTTTAGTAAATGCTAGAATACATTTAGAACACTCTATCTCAAGTACAGACACAGGCATTGTACCATTAGCTTGGGTTCATGTTGAACATATCATTAGGGATCATGGAAGAATTCTATCCATGTGGTTTATAGGCAGAAGAAACTTGCCAAAGCCACACACACTGCCATGATCTGAACTACCTGACAGGTTCCAACACTGGCCATTGGTTTTTGTAGTTTAAAGAATTAAGAAATGATAAATGGAAAGCTTAAAAAACAAGAGTGGATAATGTGAAGTATGAGTTCATGTTGACACAAAACCCCTAATTCTCAAGTCATAATGGTTCATAACGGGGAAGTCAGTCTCCAGCATACTGGGGAATATGCAATCATCTACTTGGCCCCTCTGCTACAATTGGTAAAGATGGCTGTTATCATTCACTGATCTGCAAGATACTGCCATGTAAGAGAAGATAGAGAAAACTCAGAGCAGGTTGGTTGTTGAGAGCCTCTCTGTCTCCATTTACATGGAAACAGGAAGCAGTTCTCGAACTGGGGAATGCACTATTCTTGGATCTGGCTTTGTTTTCTGCATATTTTTCTGATACCCAGGGGAACCTAGTCCTACATGTCAATTAGGCTCCTGGAAGGACTGCTTAGAAGTAAGACATCTTGCAGGTACCACCTTTCTGAACTTAGAGGACAATGAATGGGTCCTTGACCTTGACCAGTAGGTACCACTGCAGCAGCAACAGGCCAAGGATTCCTATTCTACCCTAGTGAACACAGGCAGTCATTTGAAGTTCCCAGCAGATGAATCTGCTTTTCATGTATGTCCTTATCCTTGCAGGCCTAATGCAGCCCCAGTGTTTATGGTCCACAATATCTGCCTTATGGCAAAATGGAAGGAAATATATAGTCAGACCCTAGAACCCTTTTTATCAAGCCCTATTAGGAGGAAGTAGAAAGGAAAAAGGGCTCTTAGCAGATATGGCTGCATGAAGAACAAGTTCTTCATGATGCTGCCAAAAGTGAAAATAAACACAGAACCCTTATCAGGGAGAGGGAGCACATATGCGCTGAGTGAATATATCAGAGACAGATGGACCTGGGGCCATTCTGTATCTTTTACTCCTACTGGTCTATTAATCTGCTTGCGTTTCCCCAGTTTTTATTGTCAAGGTATTATAAATTAGGAAACTTACAAAAGAGAGTATGTAATCTTCTCTGAAATGGCCTGCAGATATGTCACTGTACTAAATGTGTTTCAGATTTAATGAAGCTTTAATGTCCTTTTTAATTTTGCCTGTTTCTATATCACCAGGGGTCGGGCAAGGCAATCAGCACTCAAGAGGGTGGTTTAGTTTAAAACTAGGAAAAAACTCATTTGCTTATGAGTTGCACTGTATTTTCTTAATTAAATTTACTGAGTAAAATGGTTTAAGTTCAGCCAACCAGTGACCTTTGTATGTAGATTTAGATTTATAAATAGGTTAACAGTTAAAGGAAAGGAAAAAAAAGAAAAAGAATTGCAACAAAGCAAACAGATTAGGGCTAAGCCAATAGAACTCTCTGCACTCTTTATCATCTTTACAAAAGAAACATTTAAATATAGGCAGCTTAAATCCAGTTTGTTTTTTTTTTTAAGTATATTGAAAAATGTGGCCAGCAATTCATCAAACAACTCCTACATCCTCTTCATTCCCAGGAGGGGAGTGGCTCACATTGCAAAAGAGATTTGAAAAAGCTTTATTTATTTTTTAGGAGGGGTGTAACTAGGAGGGAGGGAGAGGATTCTATTTAATGTTAAATAAAAATTCCAAATACTTAAGATTCAGAAAACTGTTGAATACTTGTAGGACATTTATTATGTAAAAGACAGAAGAAGGATGGTACCAGATGAAGATACATTTAAATAACAGTAAACCACTAACATTCTACTACAAAACTGAAGAATGCAATTAGTGTCATCTAATTGATCTTTGATTTGTCCAACCATAATCTATGAATGCTCTTAAGTTAGCAGCACTCGTTGGATTTCATAATTTAATTGATAAATATATTTGGGCCTGTGTGTATTATATGTGATATCCTAACAATTATAAAATATGTAACAACTGCATGATAGAAAACTTTGTGTTTTAACAAAAAGTTAGGATAGAAGATATTTATTTACACAGTACAAAAATGGCTTTTTATAATAAAATTATCTTGGGACTATAAATGATAAATAGAAAACATACATTGTAGCCAGAAAGTAGTGCAAAACATTTTTTTGGTAATCAAGTCACCTACTTAAGACCATCAACAATGAAATGGGAGTTGTTTTAAATTTATAGTTATAATGAAGAACACTAAATTTTTTTGTTCTTAATTTAGACATTCTATGTTTCTCAGTATAACTGCAAATTAAAAATAAGCATTTCAATATAGTCAGTGATCTAGCTGAAGGAGGATTTTATGGTCTGAAATGTTCTAAAATTTGTTCTTAATTACCTTGTGCACATTTTACACAATTAAATTTCCATCTAAGATTTTGCATTTAGATTGTGCACTGCGGTTAAACCTTCATTTCATAGAAATACAACAACCACTTTAGAACCTTCAGACACAGGGAAACTTTAAAAAAAACCAGACTTAACCACTGGATTACATAAAATTCCCTAGGTGAGATTTCATCCCAAGACCAATTTACACAGTCCTAGAGAAAGAGTTTAAATCATGTGAAACTATGCTGGTAAAGAACCATAATAAATATTAAATACCTTACAATCTACCATAAGATTTTACTTTTCTTCTCATGTATCAATTTCACTGTCCTCTTACTGCAAGGTTTAAAAACAATCCGAAGGATATAACAGCAATTTACCAGTGTTAAAGTGCTTTGAAGGTTAAACTGACAACAAAGAACAGGAAAACACAAAGCGTCTTGAAGTAGGGTTTCAATTAAATGTGGAGGATTTAGTAATGCAGGACAAACAGAGGGAGGGAGAGAGG